ATCCTGAGCAAAAGACCTACTTCTCGCGCTAAATGCTCCTCTATACCCAGAAGATCATAGAGGTCATCGAAATGCTTGAGCACTTCAGAATCCACCGAAGTCAAAGACTGGCGTCGCCCGGTAAGTGCTACTTCTCGACTTTCTGGGTCCCGACGAACAATAAGGAGGCCAGTTCCAAGCTTCAGATCCCGCAAGGTGATGTCGGGTTTCTCAAAGAGATCAATCCGCTGGCCTCCAAATATAGTATTCAGCTTGGTGAAGCCTGTTACACGTACTAGAGCTTCAACGAGCTCCGCAGCGGTTGATAGATCCCCAATCTGCAATGAGTTTACCTTGGTTTGAGTACCGCCGTTGAAAGCTTGATAGCGAATATTGATTAATTCACCATTGATGACCTTAGTTGGCAGATCGAGGGACGCTGAATTCCGAGGGGGGCTGTATTGAGGGCGGCTTCTCAAACCTTGGAGAAATTGGCGCAGGAAAAGCAAGGAACGGCTGAATCTTAGCTCTTCCGGGTGGACACTAGACTCAGATGCGGTGCCCGTCGACTCTCCCATGGGCCGGTCACTGTGTGCATGTGCAGGGCGCAGATTAGAAGCAGCTGTTTTGAGCTGTTCGACACAGCGATCGACCAGCGCAATATGAGTGGCCTCAACTGCGGAGCGAGGGGAGCGATTGATCACACTATGATCAAGGTATACTTCGATGGCGTAGCTGGTCGCGTCTGTTTCGATGGTACCAGGCGGCGCAGTCAGAATCATGTTCCAGATTCGCTCCATACCCGGAATGGTCACGACTTCATTCTCGCCGGCAACTGGAGGAGGACGGAAGCGAATCTCATAGTTGACGGCATGTTTTGCGAAGTAGAGGATCTCTTGCGAGTAGTCCTCAGCAGGCGAAAGCTTTGGCAGATACTCGGAGAGGCATCGCTCGATGAAAGGGTTCGCTTGTGCGACACATCGTGTTAGAGTACATAGCCTGTCCCAGAGAACTCGTCTACCTTGCTGCACGAGCGACTTGGACATCAAGACCTCACGCCACAGGATATCGCTTAGATCTGCTGTTATAAACTCAGGGACGCTATCGATGATGCGAGACAGCAGGTGTATGCGCGAAAGAAACCCATTCCAAGAGAAAGTATCCTCGATATCGATTTGCTGGTCGGCCACTGCTTTCGTAAGCTCGGCGATCACCAAGCGCGTCAAATCAAAATCCTCGGCAAGCTTGCGGATGCTCGGAGTGTCATTATTTGCGAGAAGAGCATTCAGGGCCTGGATACTGCCAGCCGTAAATTCGTTCATCTCGGCTAAGTCTTGGACGCAAAGCTCGTAAGTTTCCATTTTGTCAGACTCACTCAAACCAATGTCCATAAAAGCACTCAGTTGGTGGGCCGCAAATTTCTGAAGCTGGGCCTTGTGGTCCACGGACAGCTCGTCAGTGGCAGCACTCTCCCGAATGAGGCGCACACAGAGGCGTAGCGGAATAGCATCCACATGTCCTATGAGCTCATGGCGATACCGTTCACTGTGTTTCTCGCGCATATGGAATAGCAACTGTTCACAGAATTCGATCATTCGCGCATCGAAGCGAGCCAACGGGAGTTCCAACAGCTTAGAGCAAAGGTAAAGCAACGTAGGCGACGTGGATACGTGCATATGAAAAGTTCTCGACAACATTCCCAGTATCTCAGACACCGCTCGTGAATCCGGGCTCTCCGTTACCGTCTTCCATATCGTGTCGGTAACAGCGTCGGTATACGTGGACGTGACCACCAAAAATCCGATGACGTTCCCACTTCTGCTAATCAGCTGCGGATGCGAATCGATGCCAACAATATATTCCACCATACGGTTCCGCCTCAAGAAATCCACCAGGTATTGAACAACTGGGTGATCGACTCCATCGGGGCTTTGCTGAATATGCTGCCGAAAGACAGTGACAAGGTCGAGCTGCATCGTTTCCATGCCGTACACTCTGAGTTCCATCCGCCCGTCCATGATATGCTTCTTCAGTACAGCAAATTTCCAACCATAATAGACAACGAAAGCCCGAGCTTCAAGTGGGATATCAGGTGGGATGTCAGCAGGAATCTGTATGGAGAGATCATCCACAATCTGATCCGACCATTCTCGACTCCAAAGGCAGAAGTTAAGATATGTGTGCGAGACAGCGCGAAGCATTGGGTCACTGGTTTCGCTGGACAACCAAGAAGACTTCTTGGCGATGTGAAATTGATACTTGTCGTCAAAAGCTCGAACCAAAGGATAGAGCGCCTTGAGGGAACGGCTGTAGATGGGGGAATTGATCAGCACTTCGTCAACCCCGTACTTGCGTCGCTCGACGCCCGACTCTACTAGGTTATTCACGATGTCGAGGACTAAGATCAAGGCCTGTGACAAGTATGGCCACTGAGTTACCAAGCTTGTGAGGCAAGCCGCGAACTCGGACAGTCGCTTAACGATGTCATATGGAGGCGAGGCGAGTTTATCGTTGATACGTGTGATCATATTAGGGACTTCAATGCCAAAGGACTTCTCCATAGCACGGAAGAAAGGGATAAGATTGATCTGCAGTATCCATCCTAGCGACGGCAAATAACCTTTGGACAACAGTCCTGATGGCTGCAAATTCGGGTCCTTGACAGCCTGGTTCAGAAGCATGGTATCGAGACGAACAATGTGGAGGGCCAGCTGGGCATAGTTGAGGATGAATTCTTCCAAGCAAGCCCACAGAGCCTCGCCTTGCTCCGGTACAAGCACCTGACTGCACAGTATTAGTGTTTATCCAAGGTTGTGTTCGGGCCGTCTTGAGGAGTCACGAAAACAGGAAGGTCTACTCACATCCGGCGTAGCAAGCCATTCATCATGCTTGGTACCTCTTCCCAAGCATCGCGGTCCTCTACTAAGACTGCATATGTTAAAGAATTGAGGTTGTTCACCACATCGTCTAGCCACGTCTTCACGGCGTTGAAGATTGTGGTGTCGAGGTCCGAGCCTGCAGGCGAATTCAGTTTGAGTTTCTTTTCCACTCAAGCCCAGGCGAGAGCCGTACCTTTCTCAAGGGCCACGCTAATCTCTTCCATGCTCTCGCGCGACTCTGTTGCCGGACGAAGCTTCGGAAATGTGTCTATCAAAGACAAATGGTCGTGGAGCTGTACAAGCTCCGGGGTTGCCGGTTCCCGCAGTGCCTCCCCTAGCGGCTTCCAACTCGACGTATTGGGATCCTGGTCCATATCTTCTAGATCTGCCACCTCGATTTCCGGACTCTGCGCAGGCGACGACGACAGGGATATTGCCGCGGGAGCTTCAACACCGGCCCCATCGGTGGGAGCCGTTGGTTGGCTGGGATTGGCCTGTTTTGTCGGCGAATCGCTAGGAGCAGAAGCCATGGTTTCAGAAATTGGAGACTTCACGTTGATGGTCACTCGACTGGCCGGACGAGACGACGGGGAAGCTTCCTCGCCCAAAGTGGCAGGAGCATCGGTGATGTCGTTGGGAACTTGAGAAGCGGAAGTGTCGTTGGAAACGGACCAGGAATCACATGCTCCACTTCCACAGTCGAGACGGGGACGTTTTCGCGTAGAGTGAGGGTCGTTATCTTCCATGGAATCACCAAAGGGACGCGTCGTATCGGCTGAGGTAGTGTCGGGCGGGATGCTAGAGGTCTCTAGCGGGGCAGCTGCCATAGCATTTTTCTTAGCTTGGTGGAAGGAGGGAAAAGGTTAAGTAAGGCGGGGGTTGGAGGAAGTGTAGTGAAATGGAACGACTAGAGGTGAAGAATGAGGTTGGGAGGAAAGATGAAGAAGCTGATAAGAAATAGATTCTGGTATGGCTGAAGAGACTCCTTAGAATATGAGCACCAAAGGAGTGATGGGGAAGTAAGGTAAGGTTGAGCTTAGTGTAGATTAGAGGAGCGGAATAAAACGAGGAACCAACTTTGTTCTTTGGATAGAAGGGAGGATGGAAAGCAGGCAGCTATCAGTTAAGTAGCTGATTCAGTTGACCCATTCAAGCCACAAAGGAATGGATGACTGCTTTTTCTTCCCCAAGAACCGGAAGTAAGATGGGAGGGGGAGGAGCGAGGTAGGAGGGGGGGGGGAGGAAGGTGTATGAAGGTAGTTAGTAGGTAGGTTGAATAACAAGACAGGTAAGGTAAGGGAAACGCGACAAGTTGAATGGTGAATGCAGAGTGGAGGAAGTGAAAGGCGGAAGAAGTGAGCAGCATTAGACTAGCAGCAGCAGTAGCAGCAGCTCTGACGTTGCGGTGGAGCCGCGATTCGGCGGGTTTAGAGGAGGAGGGGAGAGAGGGGGGAGAAAGAGTTCTGGCCAACGGCAGTCCCGCCAGTTGACATTAGCTATCCTCTTGATTGTTTTATGTGATCATCACTATCATTTAATTTGGGGGAGATACATTTGGCCTGACTATGAATTTATTACTCCATACTAGCTCATTTAAGCATGACATCAAATGTTGCTATGAGTGTTAATAACCTATGTTTTAGGATTTCCTATGTAGTAAACCCAGTGGAAGACCCCTGAACCCGAAGACTTCATGCCATTAAATCATTTTCTCGTCATGAACCAACCCCTCCCCAAACTTCCCTTTCAAAGTGATTATGCAAGTATTTATTGTCATTCTGTCTCCATTAATCAATCCTTCTCTACGATGGAGACCTCTCCAGCAGCTCAAGGAATGAGAATCCCTGTCCGGATCAACCTGAAGCCAAGCGTGATAGACTGAAAGTGTCATGCAGAGAGAGTCCAAAGGAAAAGCATTAGATTCTAGGCTAGGGGCGATGCAGTTCTAGGGCCAACAACACACTTGACACACAGCTCACAGGTCAGGCACAGCTAAAAAGCCCCCGTGAAGCTTAAATTGAACCCATACTCCACTTGACTCTTTGATCCTTAGCGCGGGGTAGCTTTAGCCCCCCCCCTTCTCTTCCCTTCCCTAGACTATTTTAATACTTACGTAGTCTATCGACTCGCTTGCTGCATGGTCCCGGAGAAGGACCGTTTAACCGGTCCCCACCAGACCGTCGATCGTCGCAAAACATATCATATCCCCCACTTAGTCCCTAGGAATGCTGGTGCCGTCTAGTCTATTCCTCGGTATGCAGTCTGCATTGTCTAATCATCTACTGACAGTGGCAAATTCCGTAGTACTTATAACACCCGTCCCAGCTGAATGCTCAACATTGACCATAAGATCCCAATCACACTAATGACAATGTACAGTACTGTACAGTCTGGAAACAATCACAGTGTGAGGGAGATTCACTCGCTCATGGCAGTCTCAATCTTGCGAATCACTCTCGCCGGATTGCCCACAGCTAAGTGAAAAGCAGGCACATCCTACGATCAGCTTGCGTCAGCATTGTTCGGCCTCTTCATTCTCATCAATCCCTTCCAAAACTCACCTTGTTGACCACACTGCCGGCTCCAATAACTGCCCCCTTCCCGATAGTCACTCCAGGCAAGACCGTCACATTGCCTGCTAGCCAGCAGTCCTCTCCAATGTGGATTTCTTCTCCGATCTGAGGACCCTTGAAGCCATTCCGCTCAACTGGGTCTAACGAATGCGTGCCGCTGTACAAACTGACCCGAGGGCCAATCAACGTGCGCGCCCCGATTGTTATTGAACTGGTGTCGATGATGACTGCATCGAAGTTGATAAAGGCCCCCTCCCCCACTTTCAAGTTGTGTCCATAGTCGATTCGAAAGGGAGGTTCAATCCAAGGGTAATGTTCTAGCTGGATATCATCGTCCAGAGGGTCCTCTTGAGGTGGAGGCAGAGGGGTCTGGTCGTTCAGAATGCTGGTGCTATCAGCAAAGCTTGGATGACAAGCGATCGGATCGTGGTGAAGCTAGAGATTCGATATGTCTGGTAGCCCGGTGGTACTTACTCTTTCCAGAGCTCCAACATTTGCCTTCGAGAGACTTCGCCCGCATTATTGAAACGGCGACATGCACGTTGACACCGAGCCCGCGCAGCTACGAGTTCAGCGACGGAGATAGAGTCAGACTGTTCTTGCTGCATCGACTCATGGCTATTGGAGATGCAATGTGATTGCTTGCTGTCGCTCGTTGTTAGAGACGAGGCTTGCTCGTATCCTCTTGTTGCCTGCGTTGAGTTGGGTGGACTTGGAGCCGGGCAGAAGGGTAGAGTGAGCATATGCCCAATGGGGGGCGATAGAGGCGCTTGGATCATTGAGATAGACATGGGTATTTGTGTAATCGTGGAGGGAGGCGAGATGCTTTGGAAATAATCTATGATTATGTCTTTTTGTTTGAAAGGGTGTCACATATATATCGATTTTCGCGAGAAAGGCGTCATAGGCTGACGCTAGCTGGATTCAATATCGTAGAGAGAAGGCCACTTCTATGGCAGGCCATGCGATGAATTATGCTCTGACAATGATGAAATAACACGCAGAGTGGCAGTTTCATAGGGTATGCTAAGTGTCATGATATCATTTTTAGTATTGCTAAATTCGTAGACCTAGGGAGGATAATACCCCTTTCGGTGTATGGCAGTCCGCTTTGAGTCCAGTACATAGACAGTCTGATATGGCATACTGGAGATCGGTATCTGTACCTGACTCTTCTGGGACCGATTGTCTGTCAATCATTGCTAGCTCAGCGATCCAGAGCTATGTACAAGAGCCTTTCGATCGCAGCCTGCGTGCAGGGCCATGTGCATTATTGATGAGTATTATGTTTATGAATCCAAGACAGACATAGAGCGGATGCGAGCATATTTCCGCATTGGAAGGAATTCACAGATTCCCCATCGATGGTAGAACAGCCAGAGGGATATGCACGTATCCTCATTGAGTAGCTTGAGAAGAAGCCCGCGCCAGACCGTGAGTGGCTACTCCAGCTCGCTTTATTGACTCCCAAGCTGCATTCCATTGACACACCAGCACGAGTAAATGTCCATGAGCGTTGAAGACAGCCTCACGCTCGGGATGGAACCGCAAACAAAGGAAAGTTCTTGAAAGAGTTCGTGATTGAGTGCGAACTATAAAACCGCCCTACTGCAACGGACCAGATGTTCCCGACCAGTCATCACCCATGCAGGGCCACCTTATGTAAGACCGGCGGGCCACACCATGGAATCAGCGCGGCGCGGAGGTAAAGTACCGATGGAGGAAAACGAAGCATCAACAACAACAATCTTTGTTGTCCTCCACGCCCGCTGCGCTGCGATTGTTCTCGCTCGCTTTCAGCAGTCCGCTCGTTCAATCAACAGTCTTTGTCGCATCATGCTCAGACACTAGCCAAAACCATAACAAAACCCCCGCCTCCCCCTTAAGCAATGCATCTCCGACATCACCACAACCACCACCACTAACACCATACCCAACCTACAACAACAACAACCACCACCACCACCTAAACCCCCCTATCGTCAAAATGAGCAGCACACCACCCGCCACCACGACCCCGATCTCCCTCACAACGCCCCAATACCGCGCCTACCAACCCTCGCACCCGTCGACCCCATCCGCATCCGCATCCGCATCCGCAAATGCATCCGCACCCCCGTCCGCATCCCCCTCACCCTCACCACCAACACCGCCCCTCGACCCCTCCAACCTCCCCACGGGCACGAAATCCCTCTCCGGAATCTCCCTCCGCGCCTTCCTCCTCGGCACAACCCTGGGCCTCACCACAAGCCTAACCCTCTACCTCCTCCTCCTGACCACCACCCCACTGTGGCGCCTACCCTTCTTCCTCGCCAGCCTCAGCCTCTTCCACTTTTTGGAGTACTACACCACAGCAACCTACAACCCGCGCTTCGCCGACACCACCGCCTTCCTTCTGACCTCCAACGGCTGGGCCTACAACGTCGCGCACGGGTCCGCGCTCCTCGAATGCCTACTCACCAACACCCTAGCCCCGGCGACTTACCACCAGGGCCAGCACCAGCACCAGGTCCTGGCCCTACTGTCCCGACTGGGAATCTACACCTTTGAAAGCTCGTCAGAATTCCATGAATACCGCCTCCGATTCCCCCTCGGTGTCGTCCTCGGCCTCACCCTCATGGTCCTCGGCCAGACCATCCGCTCCGTCGCCATGGCCCAGGCCGGCAGCAGCTTCAACCACACGGTGCAGGTGGCCCGCCGCGACGACCACCGCCTGATCACCCACGGCGTCTACCGCGTGCTGCGGCACCCGTCCTACTTCGGCTTCTTCTGGTGGGGCATCGGCACCCAGCTCGTTTTGGGGAATGTCGCCTGTCTCGTCGGATATGCCCTGGTCCTGTGGCGGTTCTTCCGGCTGCGCGTGAGGAGTATGTGTTCCCCCCCCCCCTTTTATTCCTACCTAACCCTTCCTGTTGGGCTTGGATCATTTTTGCTGGTTGTTGGGTCAGGCTAATCTAAGATCTTTCTGTGTCTAGGAGAGGAGAATTATCTCTGTGCTTTCTTCGGGGATCAATATCGGGAGTATAGGAAGAGGAGTTGGGTGGGGATTCCGTTTGTTTGAGTTCTGGGCAGTAAGCCCTCTCTTGACAATCGGGGAAGGGTGTTGGCTGTATAGTGAGATCTGGGGATTCGGGCATGGTAGATATGGGACTCGGGTTGTGATATCTGTCATTTAGTCATTGATCTCCCATTCATTACTTTGAGATTCAATACGTACTGTACTGTACCTTCTAATCTACCAAAGATCCATAATATCGAAGAGACACGAGCTATGGCTCCCAATAAATGTATTAACAGTTGTGTACAGCAAGCGCGTGAGTGGTATCAGATAATCCAAAGTAAAGCAAAAGCAATTCCAAACGCCCTCGCGCTCCCGCTCATTGCACAACAAACGTCAGCATGCATGCATCCATCTCCTTCTGTATATACAATCCGTAAAGAACGCGGCAGCTTCAGAGTTTACTCTCCCTCCCAACACTTCCAAGGGCACCGCTCATCATGAACGCCCCTTCAGCCTCCGCCGCGGCGCTAGCCTCTCCCTCCACAGTCGCAGCAGTCACCGAGTCACTCATGTCGGCGGCCCCAAACAGCACCATCTCGCGCCCGCCCCGTGTGCTCCACCATGTCACGCAGAAATGGGCGCGCTCCACGTCCATCTCGCCGTTGCTCAGGGCCTCCCAGAACCGCCCCACGCAGAGCTTGTGCATGTCCGGCGCGCGGATCGCGGTCAGCAGCTGCGCCGTGAGGGGAAGCCAGTCCTCTAGCTCGTCCACGTGCAGGAAACAGAGACTGTCGATCAGAGCCAGCGTGAGGGCCGCCTGCTCGGTCACGGGCGGCGGGGCGTTGAGCTCGGGACCCCCTTCGTCGGCGTCGCCTGACGCCGGCTGCGGGAGAAGTTTGTCGGAGGTGGCGTGCAGGGCTCGGTCGTAGAGCACCTCCAAGAGGACAGACGGGAAAAGGGGCTGGCTGTTGGCGATCGGAGAAGGGGGTGCCGTGACCTGGATCACGGTTTTGAACGCGAGGCGGAATTGACGGGCAGAGAGGTTGTTGGGGAATACCTATGAGTAGTCGGTTAATTGATTATCGTACTGGAAGCAGAGACGGGATGACTTACGGCGAAGAGATTGTCGATGTAGAAGGGCAGGTGTTTGGCTGCAATAGTTGCGTTGTGGGGGATGGCGAAAACAGCCAACACCACACTGTGGGCAGCTTCGAAAATCTCCAGAAGATGGTTGTTGCCGCCTGCCGGAAGATACGGCGTGGCAGCAGCGATAAGCAACTCCTCGCTGAACGTGGAAGACAAGACGGGAGTAAACAGCTCGGAAGTATTGAGGAAGAAAAGATCCAAGCATCTTTCAGCCGGATGGGCAGGGATTTGACCCAGCTCACTGGGTTTGATGCTTCGAAGGAAGTTCTCGGTCAAGTCAGGGTATTGCGCAAGGATATCCACCGCAGTCAAGGTCACAAACACATGCTGCGATGAAGCATTCTGACCAATGCGAGACGAGATGAAATAGAGGTTGCGAAGTATGTGTAAAGCTTGCATGGACAGGAACGGCGCACCTGGCAGAGGTTAGTATTGCGATTCAGCACGAGATTCCAACCGAGTCACTCACTTTGATGAGCAGCCAGTATATGGTCATTGAGAACCCTTCCAAGAACAGCCCGAAGAACAATCACGATCGAATACAAGCAGTTGCGAAGCAGTTTCCAGAGCCCCGGGATTGTGCTCCTTAGCGACTCCGGATCCAGGAATTCCGCCTCTTCAGCCCGATCCACTTCCGACAGTTTATTCTGACGCCACTGAACCATCAACGTCCGCACGAAATCCGTGATCTGATCCATGGATCGTGCGACTAACCCTGGATCTTGAACATTCTCAACCGCGTGGGCAATGAGTCGGGATAGAGGGCCCAAGGCAGACACGAGCGGACTCGATGAAATCGCCGTCACGCGAACAAAGGTATCGGATTGTGCTGACCACTGGAACCGTTTCCCAGGCGCCTCAACAACATCCTTGTCAACGGTCCCAAGAAAGTACCCTCCTTCAAGGCCCTCCGGTGATGCGAACGTCGCATTGACCATGACTGGCAATAGGCGATCGTAGTCCAGCCTGCTCTTCTCATAGTCGGATATGAGCTCGAAGGTATAGTTCAGTACCATGGTGATGCACCGACCATCAAGCTCATTCTGGGGATCCAACTCCTCGAGAGCAAATTGAGCGGCCGTCACGAGAGCCGACTCAAGTTTCCTCCGGACCTGCGATGGTAAACCCTGTCTCTTTTGGCCTTCGAAGCCCAGGAGGACCCCGCCAATCAGAATAACATGTCGCCATCGCGGCGACTTGTCGTCTGCTCCGTTAACTATCGCCTTGACCCAATCTTCGCGCTCAATTTTCCGAGGCTTCATGTACGAGACTCTAGGATCCTCCGACTCTTCATTTTGCAGAAGTGCGATGGCGGCAGTGTTGAAGACGCTAAGGATCTTTCGACATGCAAGAAGATCGACAGGACCATGCCACAAGGCTGGGGCGGCTAGCAGATTTGATGCAAGCAGGGTGATATTCAATGGGTTTCCGAGCACATATAAGAGGCTCGTTGCCGTCGGAAGCAAGCTGGCAGATAAGGCAGTCAGTGAATGTTGGAGAGCAGCCGGATGCAGTTTGACGACTTACGCGAGGACATCATGCAAATCGGACGAGGTCTGGAGCGACCGCAGAAGAGCACCCAAGGAGCGCTCTGTTGCCATCTTAGGGTCCGGGTATTATCGTTGTGTCCGAGAAAGGAACATGAGCTGCTGAAGAAGACGTCCTTAGGATGAGAGGGAGAGATAAGACGGAAGAGGGCCGCGGCGATGTTACCGCGGAGAACCCCAGATCACCTGCCGAGGTTAAAAGTGGGTATATGCCCACCGTCTATCGCAAACAGTGCAAACAAGCTTGCAGCCACCATCGGCCGTTGCGGATCTTATCAGTTGCTCCCTCCTTCCCCTTTAGCCCCGTCTCACTTCTAGCTGATATTATGGTTTCGTCATCTGATCAACAAGCTGTATAGTTTCTAAGAACCTGCGAAAGCAATTTGGAAGAGTATCTGTCTTGTGATCAGATGGCCAATAATCGTGTGCCGATCAACTACCAGACGCCGGCATTTCCCTCGCTCTATGAGCTACTACCGGCGAGCGAGTCCCGAGCTAATTATCTCTACTACACACGGGACATCTGGCGATTTACCTTCTATTGGACCTTTATCTTCTATGGAGGTAGTCATCTCTTAGTTGCAGCATGGGCAGTGGCAATGCAATGTCGAAGTTGGAAGGCTTGTCTAGCTGTGCCCGCATTCTATCTAGCCATCGGGGGCATAGAGGCGCTCCTAGCTGGGAGTATTGTTGGTCTAGTGTGAGTATATAAAGTCTATGCTCTCGCTGCCGAATATATTTACTAAGAATGGAACAGTCTCGGCGCTGTCTACGAGGCAGGTAATTTCAGAATGTCCACATGGATCCCCCTTCTATGGGGTGGTATTAATGTCTTGGTCCTCATTCTATCGAGCTTCCCAATGCCAGGTGGTCTATGAAGAGAACAGACCGAGGGTCAAGATGCCTTCATGATGCTCATTCAAATACAGACATGTCCAGTTCCTTGCAGGCCATGGGTTCAAGGCATGCTATCTATGCCTAGTGATGTATCGGAGTCTCACCGGTCTCTAGAGAGGACTACAGAAAAAAAGCATTCGCGCAACATGTGTGTATATCACATGGCGAATTACCAACATACGATGCGGCCAGACCTCCAGGACAATATAGTTCTATCAGTTCATGAGAGCTATCTTCCGTACCCATTGTCGGGTGCACCGCCACCACCCAAGCCGGGTAGACCTCCAGGCATGCCGCCATGGTTCGGTGGAGGGAAATTTGGTAAAGGGATACCTTGGGACATAAGCTGCTTCTGAAGCTCCGCAAGATCGACGTTTGATGGCGGGGGTCCCGACATAGCGTGGTGCATCGGGTAGCTGGGAAACCCGGTCGTTGGGGGGAAGTTGTTCGGCGGGGGCGGTGGCTGGGTAGATAGATATTGCGCCAGACGGCTAGGATCCATTGGAGGCATTGATGCAGGATAGCCGGGCTGCGGTAGAGGCTGAGGAGCGCCGATTCCTGGCAACAATGAGCCGAACCCATCCGGCTGGGGCACACCGCCGGGCTGCGCCTGGATCCCTGGAAGGCCTTGGGGTCCAGAAGTCTTCTTTTGATCAACTAGACCCTCAGCTTCATCCTGCAGCTCTTGCTCCTCCTCCTCACGCATCTGTCGTCTCCCAAACCCGCGACTCCATGTCCCTTGCGCCTCTGCCGCCTCTTCGCCAATATGGAATCTGTCTTTCATGTAACTAGTTTCTCCGGGCCTAGCGCGAGACCAAAACCGGGTGAAATTATCCTTCGAACCCGAGGCAAGAATGTGACCAAGAGGGTGCCAATCGAGTGACCAGATAGTAGCCCCATGTGCGTACTGTACCCGATGAGCGGGGTATATGACTTGTGCAGGTGTGTTTGCGGGGTCCGGACTGTCGTACGGAGCAATCGTGGGAATTTGGCCAGCTGGCAGATTAGGCTCGTCGAGTAGGTAATGATACAATGAACCGTCCTCGCTGCCCGTGGAGATGAGGGAACTGTGAACGGGGTGCCATGTGAGAGAGGAAATTGGCTTTTCATGACCTCGCAAGATGCAAATATCGCGCATCATGCGCAAGTCAAAAACTCTTGCCGTCTGGTCACGCGACGAAGTGGCAAGCAGATTGCTATTGACGCGCGAGAAGCGTGTCGTTGTGACCGTATTCTTGTGGCTATGAAGGGTTGTCAAGCATCTTGTCGTTCGAGGATCCCAGAACTTGACCTGGTGATCTTTGGAGCCGGAAACGAGCAGCCCCTTCGTGGGATGCCAGTCGCATGATTTAACATCCCAGTTGTGTCCTGTCAAGACAGTGTCGCAAGTCCTTTGGGTGAAGTCGAAGATCTTGAGGGTAGTGTCGTCGGAAGCTGAAAGGAACTTGGTGTCGCTTGGAGACCACGCCAGATCTCGTACGGCGTCGTGGTGTGCATCATCAATCGTCTCGACGTTGTTGAAATTGGGCCGCCAATACTTCACATCGCCCTTCTGCCCACCCGAGATCAACCAGTCATGGCTGTGAGACCACGCCAGCGAAGTGACACCGGCTTGTAATTGGTCATAATGCGCCTGTACATCCCATCAGCAAATGTCGAACTTGCAGACTGCGTATAATCAGAGATCGGCGATACGCACGTCCATGACCGTTTCAAAGTTGAATGCAGTTCCGTTCCACAGCATGAATTCTCCGGTGTGCCCACCCGTCAACAGACGCCTTCCCTCGGGCGTCCATCTTACGACTGTGATCGGCTTCTTGGACTTTCCAATAGATTGGTGCAAGTGTCGGACGGGAATTGTGTCGGCGGGGTTGTGGATTCGTGCCAACGGTGGCAGCATCTAGAGACAAAGGAACCGCGAGCATATTAATTGATTAATCTCAAACCTGCTGGAAAATCGCGACTCACATCGATCACATAGCTCGCACTGGGTCTTTCAACCTCCAGGCGGTGGCCCCCCTTGTATCGAGGCTGTCGTGTGCGCATCCATTGTACCAGTGAAGAGCCATAGTCGGTTACCAGTCCTAAAAATGGGCGACGGTTAACAAGACCTTCGCGACGGGCAACGGATGAGAAAAATAAAACGTACTTGGTCGTCGCGGTCCCACGATGTTGCCTTCGTAGGATTTGGGAGGTCTTCCGAAGGGCTGGGAGTCTCCAGCAGAGTCATCGTAATAAGCCATTGCAACGCAGTGGAGAGGTCGAGATAATCGGAGCTAGGGATCGTTGGGGAAAGTGTAAGGCAGGGAAAGAGGATGACGGAAAGATGGGCGAGACAGTCGCAAGCATGGAAGAATGCCGAATACGAAGACGCGCAGGAAGCCAGACCTCAACCAAAGTGGCAAGATCCCAGCTAGAACTGTCCCAACATGTCGTGCATGCAGTAGCTTTAATTGATTGTTCGTAATAAAGAAGGGGATAAATTAGTGTTTGTCCTCCAGGCTGACTGGCGGTTGGAGCAGTTTGGTGTTTGGAGGGAGTTGGACGGTGAATAATGAATGAACTAAACTTACTTTGGGGGAGGGGGCGGCGGCGCGGCAGAAAGCATCATTGGCCGGGGATCGGAATAGAGGAGGGCAACTGGCCAGACTCACGGGTACGAAGTAAGTTACTGTTACCTCCTACGTAGTAGTTAGTAACTGCAGGCTGCTACTGCTGCTGCTGCCAACTACGCCGGCGAAGTACGTAGCTTTCTTGGAACTCCCCCCCCCCCGTCTCCTTCCTAACTCTGTAGCCCCAAGGTTGCAGCACGTTGCCCTGTCAGATTAAGCAGCTAAAATAACGGTCTTTTTGCGACAAACTAAAAAAGCTGCTCCGATTAACCTACTGGACCTAGAACTGTTATTGAACCCCGCCGCGCTGCTTCGGGTCTTTCCAGTTTCCACAGAATTGGTCCCTTTCCTTCCCCCCCCACTGCTCTATAATTAATCCCTATCTGCCCCCCTCTTCTCTCCAACGTCTCCTGTCATGATCTTTGAGTGTCTAAACCCAGGTGGGATCCCTCGTCCTGCGTCCCGCTTTGTATCTCCGCAATTGTCTTTGACCGTTACGAGTTCTTTGTCCGAGCGAACCACCTCCTGGGACAGCCATCATTCAACCTCCAAGCTGGGATGCGAGCTTACTGGATAAGCTAGGGGTTTGAACTTCTCAACGCGATTTCATCCATGCATTCCGCCGAAGAGATCTCCGACACTACAGGTGCTCTGAGCACTGGCAGTGACGACACTCTTTCGTCGTCCGCGACCACAAACCGAAAAACATCTACAACTGGCGCAAATGGCGCAGAGGGCACAATTGGGGTCAAGAAGGAAAAGAAGAGAAGCAAATATCGACATGTAGCAGCATATCACGCCAAAGTGCGTCATTCTAGTCTCACGCGCGAACCCAATGTGACGGCGAGTTTTCTCGGCTTCCGCAATTTGATGGTGATCGTCCTAGGTGAGATTGACCTGACCAGTCTTGCTAAACACGCCGCTGGGACAATACTCATGTCTTCTCTCCGTCTTTAGTGGCAATGAACCTTCGACTCATCATTGAGAACTTCATGAAGGTAAGATCCTCTATCATGTGGAGGCAACTGAGATGCCGAGGCTAACGGCGCCGGGTAGTATGGCGTTCTTATCTGCATCAAATGTCATGACTACCGCAAACAGGACGTGGTCTTAGGATCGATCCTCTTCGCCCTCGTCCCGTATCACCTTTTCATCTCCTATCTCATTGAATTGACAGCGTCGAAGCAGGCCAAGCAGGTCATCGGCCAAAGAAAGAAGAATGGTTCCGCGGAGGCAGCTGAGCGCGACCAGCGGACTTTCCGGGTTACCTGGTGGCTTTCTGCTTTCTTCCATTGCATCAACACTCTATTGAGTCTTGGGGTTACCAGTTTCGTCGTATACTTCTACATCCATCACCCTGGAATTGGCACGTTGTGTGAACTGCAGGCTCTGATCGTCTCGTTCAAGATCTGCTCGTATGCCTTCACCAATCGTGACTTACGCGAGGCAATGCTCAACCCATCTATGGAGTCAGCACTCCCCGAGATCTACTCGTCCTGCCCGTATCCCCGCAACATCACTCTCGGAAATCTCATATACTTCTGGTTGGCTCCTACTCTGGTTTACCAACCCGTTTATCCGAGGTCATCACACATTCGATGGTCCTTTGTGGCGAAGCGTCTGTTCGAGTTCTTTTGCCTGACCGTATTCATCTGGCTTCTCTCCGCTCAATACGCGGCACCCGTTCTCCGAAATTCCATTGACAAGATCGCTGTGATGGATCTTGCGTCGATCATGGAGCGAGTGATGAAATTATCCACCATCTCCCTTGTGATCTGGCTGGCCGGCTTTTTTGCAGTGTTTCAGTCACTGTTGAATGCGCTAGCCGAAGTTCTGCGCTTCGGTGACCGCGAATTCTATACCGACTGGTGGAACAGTTCCAGCCTCGGAGGGTACTGGCGGTCGTGGAATCGGCCTGTGTATCTTTTCATGAAGCGGCACGTGTTCTCGCCACTCGTCGGACGAGGATGGAGTCCGCTCGCGGCGAGTACTATTGTATTTCTGGTCTCCGCCATTCTCCACGAGATGCTGGTTGGTATTCCGACACATAATCTGATTGGTAAGCATAACAATCTGCATTTTCGTTTTCATTGATTCTGATCCAAACGCAGGAGTCGCCTTTGCGGGAATGATGTTTCAATTGCCGCTGATTGCGATCACGGCCCCGTTAGAAAAGATCAAGGACCCATCAGGCCGGGTGATAGGAAACTCGATCTTCTGGGTTAGTTTCTGCCTCGTGGGTCAACCTCTGGGAGCCCTGTTATATTTCTTTGCCTGGCAAGCGAAGTATGGCAGTGTGAGCAAAATGGGGGTGTAGATTGTTGTCTGATCTGTTTCGTCACTTTTCTTCAATACTTCAATGGCTTCAATGGCAGTAAGCGGGCTTGAACTGGCTTTAGTGCCTCTGCAGTTTCCAATCAATAGAATAATGCAAGGAGCAACAAAGCGGCACGTCAACCATAGCTAGAAGAGAAACTCCTAGAAGCATCGTTACTGCTTACCGATCAGCAGGCAGCAAAAACGCGTAAGAAATGGGGGAGGAATTCCAGCACGGAACCCCGGCTGTGCGAGGGTCCGCAGGGAAAGCTTAAGATCCGTATCCGGCCGGATCCATACAAAACCACCGGAAATCTGGCTTCATCAGCCACACGAGCAATATCACTAAACAATTTCACCATCTTTAACCAACCAATTTGCACTCCACCAAAACAAACCCACTTCTATACTTCCCCATCATGTTCACCTTGACTGTTCCTGAGGGCTACGGGTAAGTCACTTTAATCGATGCCATCTCACTCCCTGTATTGTAACTTGGACTAACGATTTCCCCCTCGGGGTACCACAGCGCCGTCATCGCCGTCGCGCTGGGCGCTATTCCCGTCCTGGGGTTCGTCCACGGCATCGTCACGGGCAGCACCAGAAAGAAGGCCCAAATCCCCTACCCCCACACCTACGCGACCGTCGAACAATGCAAGGCTGATGTGAGTTTCCTTTCTCCCACCGCTCTCCCTTCACCCACCCAGGCATCAATTGACTGATAATGACCCCCAAAAAAAACAGCCCAAAGCCGAGCAATTCAACTGCGCCCAGCGCGCGCACGCCAATTTCCTGGAGAACTCCTCCCAGACTATGCTCTTCACCTTGGTGGCTGGGCTGAAGTACCCGCAGCTGGCGGCGGGCTTGGGCGCGGCGTGGGTGGTCTTGCGGGCGCTGTTCTTGCACGGATACGTGTACTCGGGCAAGTCAGAGGGTAAGGGCCGGTACAGGGGGGGTCTGTTCTGGTTGGTGCAGGGGGCGTTGTGGTGGTTGACGGTCTTTGGCGTGGCGAAGGAGTTGTTCTAGGGGTGCACGGGTGAAGTTGGTGAGAGTGTGGGGATGGGGATGGGCTGCTGGTCCTGTGTAGTCTAAGGTCGTTAATGTTCGTAAGGGAATCTGTTAGGTCTGCATCATTTATCTGAGCAATTTTGTTTGTTGAACTCTGGGTGAAGACTGAACGGTAGTAGTGGGGGACTGGTTGCTGAAGGATTGGTGCTCATTATGGGGGTTTAGAGTAAGTGCTCCAGAATCATTTGCAATGGTAAGCAGATCATAGTGAGTGGAAAGATATCTGGAGACTTGGCTCAGCATCTTGAGATTCGAGGCTTGGAGCAGTAGCTGTCTTCACAAGCTCGGCGGAGAAGCTCTGAGGGCCGCAGCCTCGGCATTCGGCAGTGTGGCTGACCCCACGGTCGGAGGTGGAGCAATCTAGAAGCCGATGTGGCTGGTGAAGGATGGAGGGGGAGTCTTTGGGTATGATTTTATCGTCTATCGTATTTTCTGCCGCAGGCCTACTTTTCGTCAATACCCCGCCATTGAGCTCAATTACTTGACTGATATCATTCTTGGAAAACCTCTTCACATACTGGTTAATCCCTCAATCAGCCCATTCCAGTAAAAAGCTCCACATCCCACCCGACATCGTACAATTGTCATCCGCTACCACCCCGCAAAACCCCCGCCATGTCTTCCAAGTCGCAATTGACCTACACTGCTCGTGCGAGCAAGCACACCAACCCTCTGGCCAAGCGCCTCTTCGAGATCGCCGAGGCCAAGAAGACCAATGTGACCGTCTCCGCCGACGTGACCACTACCAAGGAGCTCCTGGATCTCGCTGACCGTAGGCCCGCCGAAACCTCTTTCACTCCATGATAAGGAATTGACCCCCGAGATATGTACATAGGCCTGGGACCCTACATCGCCGTGATCAAGACGCACATTGACATCCTGTCGGACTTCAGCAACGAGACCATCGAGGGCCTCAAGGCGCTGTCCGAGAAGCACAACTTCCTGATCTTCGAGGATCGCAAGTTCATCGACATCGGCAACACCGTCCAAAAGCAGTACCACAAGGGCACCCTCCGGATCTCGGAGTGGGCCCACATCATCAACTGCAGCATCCTGCCCGGCGAGGGCATCGTGGAGGCCCTGGCCCAGACCGCCGCGGCCGACGACTTCGAGTACGGCGCCGAGCGCGGCCTTTTGATCCTGGCCGAGATGACCTCCAAGGGATCCCTCGCCACGGGCCAGTACACCACCTCCTCGGTGGACTACGCGCGCAAGTACCAGAAGTTCGTCATGGGGTTCGTGTCGACGCGGGCGCTGGGCGAGGTGCAGTCGGAGGCGAGCTCCGCCTCGGACGAGGAGGACTTTGTCGTGTTCACGACGGGCGTCAACATCTCCTCCAAGGGCGATAAGCTCGGCCAGCAGTACCAGACCCCCGCCTCTGCGATTGGTCGCGGAGCCGATTTCATCATCGCCGGTCGCGGGATCTATGCCGCGGCGGACCCGGTGCAGGCGGCGCAGCAGTACCAGAAGGAGGGCTGGGAGGCGTACCAGGCCCGTGTTAGCGGAAACTAAAATCGGGGAGGGGTAGTTGTTTATTTTAGACGATGTACAGGATTAGCAACATAATGCCATGTTACGACTAATTTGCTTTCAAGCATCCAAGTTCTCGGATAATGACGAGGGGGTACCGATCCTGCAGTGAAGATAAGATCCCTTGAGTCAGCCATCGTGCCATCCAGGCCGTGGGTTTTATGATTGATAACATGGGAAATGATAACCTAATCTAGACCGGACGAGATAAGACCAGAAAATCCAGCCTCTACCTTACATAACTGTAGAGGCAGGCAGATGATGGGATGATGGGTCTGTGGACCTCCTAGCATATCTCAGCTATACTTTCCTCGGGCTAAGATTGTTATCTGCCAATGGATGGATGCAATCTGGCCATGCTATTAATGTCGAGGTTGCAGAGCGCCGGCCTCCAGATCTGGAATCCGATGCGGAACGAAGAGTGACAGTTCCGCGCTTCGCAGGACGTTGTTCAGCGACTTTCCTTCCTTCTCCTCTCCTCGCCTCATGACGTCGCAAGATAAGCGACAGCATGATTCGTCCCTCCGCTAGCCTCAGTCGAAAACAACCTGCGAGCATCATGTCCAGCCTCGAGTCACTCGGCTAATCTCTCCAATGGACGAGTGGCAAAGACCTCTTCGAGCTCAACATCCTCCTTCACCCCCTCTCCTCTCTCCAACTTGTTTCCCCCTCATTCTTATCTGACTGGATGGCACTATCGTTTAGTACTCCAACTACTGCATGCAGCTAACGGGGATCCAACCCTCCTGATTCGGTCGATAAGCCGTCTACCCCAGATAAACCAGATAACAGCCAAACAACTAGCGTCTTATCTCCGACTATGGGATTATGGGACTATGAGCGCTCATGCAACCCCATCTCTTCCAAGAAAGCCAGTTGTATATTCCATTGCCGATCCGGCTGCACCAAGACATTTCCAGAGGACAGTCATAAAGCCCATCTGGTCGCGCTGGGTCAATCTCCGCTTGCCCCCTTGCCTCTTGTCTATCACACCCGTCCTTCGTCCCCACACTTCTATCCCCTTTAACGCATTCTTCTCTTTTCTCTCCTTGCTTCCTCGGTGTCACTGAATATGGGGGACGAGAAATCCCAGTCGCATACAATGGTTGATGAAGAGAAAGACACCACAAAGACCGTGGATCCGGTCCTTCTTCAGCATGCGCAGGACGCAGACGAGGCGCTGGGCGTCTTTCAAGATCTCCAGGGAGAGGTGATTGAACTCGACGAGGCCACGAACAAGCGACTCTTGCGCAGAATCGATTGGCATATCATGCCGATCATGTGCTTTGTCTATGGCATGAACTTCCTCGACAGTGAGTGATTCCATGCGGTTCAATGCGGCAGCATGTAGCTGACACAGTCTAGAAACAACCCTGTCATACGCCAGTATCATGGGCATCAAGACCGACATCAACCTCCAAGGCGATGACTATCAATGGCTAGGCAGTCTATTCTACTTTGGTGCGTGCTGTCATGCGCGGCCATGGAACAAGAAGACTAATAGTTCATTGACCAGGCTATCTGGCATGGGAATATCCGACCAATAGACTTCTACAGAGACTTCCTTTGGGGAAGTACTCCGCGGTGTGCATCATCATATGGGGAGCTATCCTGTGTTGCTTTGCTGCAGTGTCGAACTTCTCTGGAGCTGTTGCCATTCGGTATGACAACCCTGCCACCGTCTCATTCGACTGTTCTAATGTGCGTTTAGATTCTTCCTGGGCGTCTTCGAAGCCTCCGTCACCCCAGGCTTCGCTCTGCTAACCTCCCAGGTGAGTCGACCCGAAGTATACCACACTACTTATCCCTATCCCAGCTCTGACGTGGTTGTATCGAACAGTGGTACACCAAATCCGAACAAGGCAGCCGCGTCAACATTTGGTTCAGCTTCAATGGTTTCGCACAGATTCTCGGCGGCTTCGTCGCCTACGGTATCGCCGTCGGCACCGAGAAACACGGCTCCGCCATTGCTCCCTGGAAGATCGTCTTCCTCGTGACGGGCCTCCTGACCGTCCTCCTTGGCGTCATCTTCTACTGGGTAGTTCCCGACAGCCAGCTCAACGCACGCTGGCTCACCAAGGAAGACCGCATTCTGGCCGTGGCCCGCGTTCGCGTCAACCAGCAAGGTATCGGAAACAAGCATTTCAAGCTCCACCAAGTAAAGGAAGCCCTGATCGATCCGATGACGTGGGCGTTCTTCTTCTACGCTCTCATCGCAGATATCCCCAACGGCGGAATCACCAATTTCTTCAGTCAGCTGGTACGTTTCCACACCCTCAATCTTTCCGTCTGTCTCCACCACCATCACCACCACCGCACCCACTAATCACGCAAGGGAACAGATAACCTCCTTCGGCTACACCGCTGAACAATCTCTCCTCTACGGCACGCCCGGCGGCGTCGTGGAGATCCTCTCCCTCATCGGCAGCGGCTTTCTGGGCCAATACACCAACCAACGCCTCCTCTGCAGCGCGGGCGGTCTCGTCTCCGGTATCCTCGGGATGATTCTCATCGTCGCCTTACCACTCTCCAACAATGTCGGCCGGCTGATCGGCTACTACCTGACTCAAGCCAGCGCCACCTCGTTTGTAGCCCTGCTGGCCATGATCTCCTCCAACGTCGCCGGGTACACCAAGAAGACAACCGTCGCGGCGATCTATCTGATTGGGTACTGTGCGGGCAATATCATCGGTATGTGTTTCTCCAGTGTACTATCTGTTCCTAACAGAGAATGACGGATGGGGGAGGGGTTACTCTCCCATCAACCTCGACCTGCCAACCTCCCTCAACCTTGACCCGATAACTAAACAACAACCAGGCCCCCAAGTCTTCCGCCCGCAAGACGCCCCCCGCTACGTCCCCGCCGAGATCACCATCATCGTCTGCTACGGGGTGTCGATGATGATCCTCGGACTGATCTGGTGGTGGTATCGCCGACAGAATGAGAAGAAGGCTCGCATCCGCTCGAGTCCGGAGTATATCCGGTTGGAGAACCAGGAGTAAGTCTCTCACTCTCGTCCACACCTTCCTTCCATCATCCCTTGCTATCACTCTGGTTCTTCCTTTCCAAGCCATGCTGACTCTTGGTGCCAGGTGGATGGATCTCACGGATTGGGAGAACCATGATCTTGTCTATGCTTTGTAATGAACGACTCGTTTGCGGGCCTGGAGCCCTATTCTATCTATGACTTGTTATGATAGTTCCTTTTGGAGATTTACAGCTCATGTAGGCTCTCATGATTATATGATATGACATAATTCTACCAAATATGCTTCTGAGTACCCGCTGAAAACACAGCTGCTCCTATGACAACTTGCCAGACTTTGTAGGTAGCAAACATAGCTTACTCATAGTCTCCGTGATATGGATGCCTCTTTCTGGATCAAAGCGAGGAACTTTCCTTGATGTCAATTTCTAACATACAGGCCATCTTCCATGACATGCGTCTCTCACTCCTCACCAAGCATAATTCAGCACCGCATACACAGACAACCTGCAAGCTGCGTCAACCTCGCCTCGTCGCAATCCACAATCCTCCGCACACTTCAAACCAGGTCACAGGACTGCCCATACATAATATAGATTCAAG